GTCATGTCATCGTCATGTCATCGTCATGTCATCGTCATGTCATCGTCATGTCATCGTCATGTCATCGTCATGTCATCGTCATGTCATCGTCATGTCATCGTCATGTCATCGTCATGTCATCGTCATGTCATTGTCATGTCATTTTCATAGATGCCACAGAACAAAAGAGAAGAAATACTCCATGAAAATGCCGTGTGAAAAGGGAGACGACTGGAATAGTAATCATGCAGACGATCAGTACAGAGAGTTAGACAGACAGGTAAGTTTTCGGTTATATCTATTGATCGACTAAGACAAAAAAATTTTATCAGACATTAGACTTGCTATACAGTTGAACGATTATTAAACAATAATTTTGCTCAACTAGTGGGCAAAAGGTATAAAGTACTAGTATGCACAATGTATCAAGTACTAGTAGGCACAAGGTATAAAGTACTAGTAGGTACAAGTACCAAGTACATACAATGCCTCAGTTAAAAAAACCTGTAAAATGTGTGTTATATCAATTGGCCAAAGCCTCCAGTAATTCGATTACAAGTTAATCACAGAAATGGAAAGACGTTTGTCAAAATTAAACATATGGATGTACAGGAAACGTGTAGCTATATGTGTGTGGGTATAAAGGTAATAAGGGGTACAAGTAATAAGGTGTACGAGTAATAAGGTGTACAAGTTATACGTTGTACAAGTTATAAGGTTTACTTACAAGGGTCACATTTCAAATATTGACATAATCAATTGTTTCGGATGATGTATTGTTTTTTTGTAAGTTAGGATGAACAAGAAGTTAATTAGATAGTAAATGTCATGCGCAGAGGAAAAAAGTGGACGATGCAAATGGATGTCTGTTTTTCATTAAGCTCTAGCCGAGATTCAATGTCCATCACACAACATCTGAATGTGGACCCAACAGATCTGAGTGGATTGTGAATGTGAAGTGAATAATTCTTATGACAATTATGTTTTCTCCAGTGTCTAGAGATTTATTTCTGGCTGTGTCTTTATAGCGTCGATAAACACGGGATGCTAAATTCAAACGCCCCGTCTCGTCAAATATCTTGGGGGATTGTAAAATGTGAATAGGAAAGGCAAATACTGCAACAGTATAATACTGCATCTTAATTGCAAGTAACTAACGTTGTTATACAAGGTCAACAAGTAATAAGATGTTACATTTATGAGGTGTACAATATATATCGTGTGCCCGCTTGCCAGTTAATAATCAATAATTTCCCCTGGCAAGGAAAGAAAACAACTAGTAAATACCATTTGTTTTTATCCCCCCAAAAAAGACTCCAGACAGAAAAATGTCTTACAAAGAATTCCAACAGACTATGCAAGAGAGAGCTTCATATGCAAAGTCTGCATCAGAAGACAGGCAAAAGGAAAGTGCCAAACAGACAGAGAACGAACGGTACAAGCTTAAGACAGCCGAGGAGTGGATGAAAGAGTACAAGATGAACAAGGCTAAAGGTAATGAACAATACTAAAGGTAATGAACAAGGTCGAAGATAATGATCAAGGCCAAAGGTAACGGACAATGCCAAAGATAGTGAGAAAGGCCAATGGTAATGAACAAGGTCAAAGGTAATGAACAGGGTCAAATGTATTGAGTGTAAGGGTCGCAAGTTACTGCACATAAACACGTATTGAAAAGCATAGTGTTCATGCATCTGTCTAGTATTATACTATTGTTGTACTGTGTAAGGCTTTACAAAAAAAGATAATAAAGAATAAGCTTTTTTTGTTAGCAAACACGGGCAAGGGAAACTTGAAAGAGGTTTAAGGCAATGGGTAAAACAGTGGGTAAAATAATGAGTAAACAATTGGTAAACAATGGGTAAAACAATGTGTAAATCAATTGTTAAAGCAAAGGTAAATATGGGTAAAACAGTGAATGGGTAAAACAATAGGTAAAGCAATGGGTAAAAAATGGGTAAACCTTGGATAAAACGATGTATACAACAATTGGTAAAACAATGGTTAAAATAATAGGTAAATCAATGGGTAAAACTATGGGTACAACAATGGGTAAAGGGGTAAAACAGTGGATAAAATAATGGGTAAAACAAAGGGAAACAAATAAAAATTAAAAGCTGTGTACGAGAGAAACCTATACATTTCATGGACTAATTGGGTGCGGAGATAAATAGAGAAGAACAAAAATAGAAAGCTCTTTGGTTTGAGTGTAAAATTTTCTCGACCGCAGTCAGGACTGTATTCTTTGCCAACAATAACAAAGCGTCTCACTTTGTGGATGTCGCAATCTCAGAAGGATAACAGTATAGTAGATTACAATTTTCTATGATAAAATTGTCAAAGCATTCTGGTCATGGGCGTCAAGTCAAAAAGAGGAAATCACTCAAGCAAGGCAACTGACAAAGGCCACAAATGCGTCTCTTTAGAATTGTTCTATTTTCCTCTTAGACATGCCTGCTACTTAGACAATAAAATTATGTTCAATGTCAACAACTATAAATATTATAATTGAAAGAAAAATTACGTACTAGTGTTCGTGGCTTAGCTAGGCTTAGTGCCAACCGTGAGTGTCAAGATCTTTTCCACCCCATCCACTTCCACGAAAAAAGTGGAAAATCCCGCCCCTTCATATGAAGAAAAAAGTGCGCCTGATTCCTACGTCACTGACCAGTGTAGTGTTTGCCGTATTAGAAGGAAATTGGAAAAATATCAGCTACCTTCCCATTAACAACTTGTGACTCAAGCATCGTTTGGGGACTAACATAACACACGAGTAGTGTAACATTATCTTATTTAAAGAATTTAGCTAAATAATAATAATAAAACAAAGAACCGTCACAAAATGGCTCGTTATAGTTTGATTGATTGATATGATATTTATATCGCGCTGGTATCCATACCACTTTAGCATGCTCACTGCGCTCTGGTCGTCCGAAATTTTTTAAATAAAAAAGTTTTTATATTTTTCTTAAATGATTTTTTATCATTTACAATTCCCCTCAAAGATAGAGGCAAACCATAATTTTGGCGCTATCGCTTCAAAAGTGCGCACTCCGTAAGATCACTCACTAAGTACTGTGATGAAGACAGCAGGCTCTTCCAGGGTACATGTTTATAAATCAGTTCCTTGAGATATTCCGGTGCTGAGCCATCTATGCAGCTGTACGCCAGGGACACAATTTTGTAGTTAATGCGTCACTCAAAGGAACCCAATGGAGATCTCGTAGAACTGGGGTGATGTGGTCAGATTTTTTCATCCGCTATAGTTGAGCTATAGTATAAAACATAAATAATGTCACTTGAAAATGAATATAAATATATAAAAATATAGAAAGGTAAAAACATAAGAGTGTGTATTTTCATGTAGGTTATAGAAAACAGAGTATATTGTTATCTCACGTGACTTATGAAACGACAAAAGTTTTAACCGAGTAAATTTATAGACTTTTCTAACAATTATTATTATTTTAAAAGTTTACTGCAAAATAATAAAACAAATACAAAAAAATTATCATCAATCAAAACATTCTTTACTGTAACTGACTCGATAAATATTAGATTGTACTTTCAAGATTCCCCTTGTATAATAACGAAAAAAGGGGGGGGGGGATTATATTTTTAACTTGTAAAATGTGTGGTCTCTAAATAAATCAAGTTTTTACAAAGTGAAACCAAACGTGCGCACCAAAGCTAAAAAAACAAATACAAAAAAATTATCATCAATCAAAACATTCTTTACTGTAACTGACTCGATAAATATTAGATTGTACTTTCAAGATTCCCCTTGTATAATAACGAAAAAAGGGGGGGGGGGGATTATATTTTTAACTTGTAAAATGTGTGGTCTCTAAATAAATCAAGTTTTTACAAAGTGAAACCAAACGTGCGCACCAAAGCTAAACGGCACCGGTGCGGTGACGTCACACTTTCATAGGAATAACGTCATCTGGACAACAATGATATGGGGGTGCCATTTCCATCAAAATGAAGTGATTTCATCAAGAAAAATATAAATAAATAGTGTTTAAGGGAAAGGGTAAGTGATTTAGCTTGTAAAAAATGGACCGAGGGACTATTTGTGTAAAGGACGTCCATTTTCTGTTGATTTTGGAACGAGGCTTCGTTTGATTTCTTCGGCGCTCTGAACTAGGGGGAAAGGTAAGGCTAGAGACAAGACCGGATATCAGTCTGTGAAACATAGCCAGGGTCATTCTCCCAATTTTCACGTTTGGAAACCTCGTGATTTTATCTCCTACTTAAGACTTTTGACAGTTTTGCCAGCTAGTGCGTTCGTTCGGGATATGCTCTTTTCAAGTTCTATGAAGACTTATTATTTTTTTCAAATTTAAAGTTTCTCTGAATGTTTTTTTTTTTTTTCTATTCTAAGACAGTCTAAGTAGATTTCAAATAAATGTAGAGGTCAGTATGTGTTTTGTTTACACCTTCTGCTTTGATTTGTTGGTGTAGAGGAGATGCGTGGAGATGCCATGATCTCTATAACTAAAAGGCCGTTACCTTTGAGTAACACACGGAGTGTAAACAGGTTCTGCAAAGAGGTAATGCTTTATTGTAAAGAAGTTAAGCACCGAGAACCATTGTTACCACTGTACCGTAAGTATCTATATTATATTTAAATGCTGTCTCTAAAAGACCACGAAGCAATGCTTAACTCTGATAGGCAATGTACAATATCCATATTACAGTTGACTATTACACATTCGAGTAAAAATTTGATAAGACTTGTATCAAGTAATAAAAAAAAACTTTTTTTTTTTTTTGAGTGAATTATTTCTAAATACCAAATCATCTCTTGACAGAATAAATCTAATTTTGAAATCTGTTATGAAAACTAAACACCGTTTTCTTCATATATCTAAGCGTTCAATGTGTCATATTACACATGACATAGAGCAAACTCCAAAAATTCAGCTTGTAAAGGACCAGGAGTTTTACTATTGACATAGAGAAACACAATGAAATAACTGTTCACATGACTTCTTAGCTTAACAATTGTTACCGCAAATAGTCTAATGTAGTGTTTTTTTTAAAAATTATTTAGTAATCTTATTGGTTAAGATTGAAAATTGATTTGCTAGTTGAATGGGATCACCTTTTCCTGTTAGGAAACATCCATGTGGGCGACTATTTTCGAACTTGAATACAATTGTTACCTTAGAAAGTGTGTTTGTGGGGGCGGGGGTGGGGGGGGGGGGGGATTTTTTTTTGCCTATTTTGTTACACATTTTTTTTTTTTTAAATTGTAGAACACAGTATCGTTCAGCGTCCAATTCTATTTGAAATGTACTATCATCGAACAACCTAACTGATAAAGAAATGACAGTGAAACTCATATTTTCAAAACGCATATGCAATATTTACATTTAAGGTGGACAAAAAGTTGAACAAGCGACACATAACTCTGACATGAATTGTCTCTATTAGAAAAAAACATATTCAAGTACTTACTTACAGTAAACCATCTTTAAATTCACCATCGTTCATTAAAGTCTGAACGTATTTTTTTTTTTTTTGGTTTTACTTTCATCTGAATGAAATTGAGTATATCGCCAATTCTAAATACCAGCAGTAAAGAAATGTTGATATGAAAGATGCATCATTTGCTATTGTTTTACTAGTCACAAAAATATAATGATATATAATGATGCACTTGGGCTATCCGTCTATTTTCAAGATTATAAAGTAAATACTAGGTCAACATTATTTAAAATTCCAATTTCGATGTTTTAGTCAATGGATAAATTATAACATAATATTATTTCAATAGATCAACCATAGCAAAATAGCATTACAATAAATCGATCATAGCACGATTGTATTAAATCTATACATTGAACTATATGTATATTAACGGGTTGGACAAAAATCGGGAGACTGTACTAAACTACGCAACTACAGATACTCATTGATTTATTTTCGTTTATGGCTTAAAGTGTACTTAAAATTTACTCATTGGGTTAGTCGCCTTTATGGCTTGAAGTGTACTTTAATTACCCATTGTCTAAGATTTATAAAATATAAATTGATGTTGTTTTTTCATTACTAGAATTTGCGTCCTCCAAAGAAAGAAAAGTCGACAACGAAGGTGGGTCTCACTAGGGAAGGTTTTCATTAATTCATTTAAGAATTAATGTCATGGTTAATTTTGCATAAAAAAGACAACTAACTTTTAAAATTTTACAGCTTAAATACTTAAAAAACTGAGACTCCAGTCATGTATTGTATTATCTACAACTGAGACTCCAGTCATGTATATTATTATTTACAACTGAGATTCCAGTCATGTATCTTATTATTTACAACTGAGACTCCAGTCATGTATCTTATTATCTACAACTAGACTCCAGTTATGTATCTTGTAACTGGAAGCTTTCTTATTCTCTTCCTTAATTCCACAGAGGCGGATAGGAACAGATTAGATGTAGAGAAGAGTAGATCGGTCGACACAGAACATCTAACAAAGGCGGGACAAAGTAAGGATTCGGAAACTTACAAGACAGCTACAGGCCATGTAAGTCATAATGTCACATACTGCATGTCATTGTTTACTTCAATGTACGTCGTAGTGTCAGGTACTGCATGTCATTCAACACTTCCATGTAAATCGTTATATTAGTTACAGATTTGTCATTCAATTCTTCCACGGAAGGCATAATGGCAGGTAATATGTCATTCAATACTTCCATGTAAGACCTAATGTCAGATCCTGCATGTTATTCAATACTTCAATGTAAGTAGTAATGTCATATACTGCATGTCATAAAATACTTACATGAAATTCGTAACGTCATATACTGCATGTCATTCAATACTTCCACGTAAGTCGTGATGTCTGGAAATGTGTCCCATTCAATGATTCCATGCAAGTCGTAATGTCAGATATTGCATGTCATCCAAAGCTTTCTTGAAATGCGTAATGTCAGGAACTGCATGTCATTCAATACTTAAGCGTAAGACATAATGTTAGGTACTGCATGTCATTCAATACTTCAAAGTAAGCCGTAGTGTCAGATACTGCACGCCATTTAATTTCCATGTAAGTCGTAAATCCATTACTAAATGTCATTCATTATTGTCATTTCAGTCTTAAAATCTGCTAGGATACTGTAGATGTTATTTATTAATTCCACATATTTCTAATTATCCGGTACTATAAAATGAATCATTTCCATGATTTGAAGCACAGCTGACCTTACCAAACTTTTCTGCCTTAAAAATCATGCACTACAATGTGAATTGTAGTTGAATAATTGACAATTGAATTGTAATTTCATTATAATTTTTGTCCAGAAAATCGACAATAATAGTGACACAAACTATTTTTCAGCGTCTTTTGACTTCTGTGTTAGCTCTATCATAAACGAGAATCATAAAGCTATCTATAAGGGCTGAATCATACAGCTATCCCTTAAATAAACATTGAATCATACAGCAATCCTTTACGCAAACACTGAATTATACAGCTGTCCTATAAGTAAAAACTGAATCATACAGCTGACCTATTAATAACCATCATCCAGAGAATAAAAGCTGAACTAGAATGTAAGAAGCCGACATGCGTAGAAGAATATCAACTACAGACACACCAGATAAGAGCAGCCCATAGTTTTTTTAATGTTAATTTAATCAAAATTTTTTTTCTTGTTCTGTTCTAGACAGCCACAAACAAGTTCCCATATCATGTCATTGCCAGCCTTGTTACCATTATTTGGCTCCTAAATATTGTCTTCGTAATATGGTTATTTTTTGGAAGAGGCGGTAATAAAATGAAAGTGCCCACTAATGTAGGTGAGTTGTGTCCGTAACGTGCGGTAACGTACGCTCAAAACTATTCACATTTTTACAGGGGAAAAACTTATACAATAACTATGGAATAATTTATACAATAACTAAATAACTATGGAATACATTATACAGTAACCATGTCTACATGAGAAATAATATGGAACTAGGAATTAGGAGCATTGAGAGTGGTAGCCACATTTTAATGCTAACTAATATGTGATGGGAGGAAAACAACGGTATGACCAACTAACATTCATTCAACGGACTATGGTTATAAGCCTATATTTAAGAATGCCTTTTTCTAATAAAAGCTAATTTTAAAAGGCTGGTACATTGATCTGTATATCAGTCGTCAAACTGAAGGAATTATTTCTGGCATCCGTCCGTCACCATGCGACGATGGTGTGGAATTCGCATTACGAAATCTTCAAGGCCTAGGATTATTTTTCTAGAATTATAAGCTGGTTCCCAACAGCAAATCGCTTCTCTCCACGCCGCTGGATAGCCCAAGGGAACATCATGTGAATTATACAGCTTGGCACCAGTGGCGTCGCAGGAGTTTTCGGAATGTTTCATTGTAACATGGTTGTCCGCGTACGGGACTCCATCTCCGGGTTTGATTTCAGAGTTTCCTTCTCTTAGATGAGTTGCTATGCAAGGTTAACAAGTCCCATCCACCCGGGGTGCTGGTGATGTTTTTGCTTGACAGGAATTAACAGTTTTATTTATAGGCCTCCTAAAATAGTCCTAACATTGTCCTAACATAGTCCATGTTTCTCTCAATAGAATTTAAAACCCCACTCAGTGTGGCACGACAGCGGTCGGCACCAAACGTTTCCGAGCATGAGAGACCTCAAGGTGGAGCCCCGCAAGAGGAGACGACCCAGCCTCTAACTGAACCGAGACAGCAGACCTCGACCCCGAGTGACCATTTGATGCTACCGACCAGCGGCGTGTCTAGGTTGCTCGATCCCCTTTACCCCAGGCAGCTGTACTTCGAGAGGAACGGACGGGCCAAGTCCCCGGGGTACTTCTTCAAAAAGTTTCAGGAGCTCCGCCACCCACAAGCCACTTACATGCAAGATGGCGACGCGGCCAAGCACGTGCCCAACTACCAGGAGACGCCACGCAGGGGCGGCGCCATGAGAGGCAGGAGTCCTGTGTTTGATCACAGCAAAACTAAAGCTATTGACAATAGCCCGCAGCTAAAGAGAATCGAGGAATTGCTTGCTCGTAAATACGAGGCCATCGGTAGAGAGGACACACACCATGTGAGGTAAGAGCAGACGACAGTTGTTTGTTACATATCAGATATGGGTTAGGTGAACCAGGGTCTGAAATCATCATACAAAAACATTTTACTAGGATTTCAGATCCCAGTGCATAGAGACTAATTTATATGTATTACATTTTATATGTAAAATTTATGAAACATTTGTTTTATTGGCGCTAGCCTTGATGGTTTGTTTCGGTACAATTTTTATTCCCTTTAGTGTATAAAAAAGTGCTAACCTTAAAATAGAAAGATCATATCGATACGGAATATTGTCAAGTGTTTTGCAACGTGGACAAAAGCCCGGAAGGGGAGAAGGGTACCAAAAATATGGCCGGGGGACATAAGGATTCAAAATAACATTTAAACAAATATCCCGTAGTGTAACGCATGCTCTGACATCATTGTAACTTAGTGGGTTATGTCAGTAGCATGGTTACTTGTTTATGTTAATACTTCAGGATGCCGGCTAAGACTTCTTCGTTCTTTTACTTATTATCCAGGCACGCAAATAAGAATACTGAATCCTGGTTAAACTTACAGTACTTTATTGAATCACAGTTTACACTGATAATCTTAATAATAATCCTTGCATGAATGTAATAATTTCACATATATATATATACAATATTCCATCACTCAGAAAGACACGTCCTCACACTGCTATAACTCAGCTCAACTGTACTATATCTCAACTCTAATTCAACTGATCTCAGCTCTAACTCTACTCTCTTCTTTTAATCAACTCAACTGCCCCTTTTATTCCCAGCAAAGCGTTGACACGACCGCTTTGACAAAAAACATAAGTTACTCTCCAAAAACGTGGAGCTCACATTTGCTTCTCAAAATACAATCCACTCTCTCTCTCGTGGAAAAACATGGTCAACACAATTCACTGTTCACTCATGCTACCTCTCTGTTTTCTTGTGACAACATAGTCCGTTACACGTAGCAAACAAGGGAATAACGTGTCATATAACGAACGAAGTATAATACTTCCTACCATATTCTCCTCCTCTCAATCACAACCCCTCGAACTATCCTTTATGTTGACTACCCTCGGATACCTCCAGCTCCAATCATCTCTCTGTCACATCAGCCCGACATGCCTTATTTTTTTAAACTCCCTACCTTTAGCTAAACGCCATCCTTTTTCTCTAACTTACCACCTACCCTTTCCCATTCGATCACACTAACTTACCACCTATCCTTTCTCATTCAATCACACTAACTTACCACCTATCCTTTCCCATTCAATCACACTAACTTACCACCTACCCTTTCCCATTCAATCACACTAACTTACAAACTACTCTTTCCCATTCAATCACACTAACTTACCACCTACCCTTTCCCATTCGATCACCCTAACTTACCACCTACCCTTTCACATTCGATCACACTAACTACCACCTACCCTTTCCCATTCAATCACACTAACTTACCACCTACCCTTTCGATCACACTAACTTACCACCTACACTTTCCCATTCAATCACACTAACTTACCACCTACACTTTCCCACCCCATTACCCTCTCCTTCACCCGTTTCCCGTTACTATTTTCCACGCCTTAACATTACTCACTGACATTACTTCCATTTAGCTCATGAGAGGCAATTTAAAAAAAAAATTAAGTAAGTTGGAACGTTAAAAAACATTATCCAACATTTTATCTCCAACCCACCCCACGTCTTAAAACATGCACGCTTCCCAATAAACGACCACCCCGTCCATTGAGACACTCTGACTTACCACCCACCCTTGCCAATAAACGACCACCCCGTCCATTGAAACACCTAAACTGTCTCTCAAAAACCAAGCAACTCTTCACGCATCCAATCCTCTCCCACAATTATTCTTCAGATGTTGATCCTTGTTAAATCTGCTTGACCCAATTGTAATATACTCAGATTTTTATTACGTTGTAGTTGTCTGATGGCAAAAAAAAAAAAACAAAAAAAAAACAAAGAAACTTGTATCCAGAGAAAGGAAGACAACTCATCACGCAACCAATCCTCTCCCACAATTATTCTTCAGATGTTGATCCTTTTTAAATCTGCTTTACCAAATTGTAAAAACCACAAATTTTTATTACGTTGTAGTTGCCTGATGGCAAAAAAAAAAACAAAAAAAAAACAAAGAAACTTGTATCCAGTTTTAAGTGTAAAAGAAGACTAGAATAGCCTAATTAAACCGTCTATTCTTTCAAATTTATACGTACATCAATTCATCTCAAATAAGCTACCATTGATAAATCTATATACATAAATAGGTACTTTTTACAGAAGTATATAAACCCCCAGCACATGTTTCCCCACTTTGTTTTATTAGGAGACAGAGAGCGAGCAGTCCATCAACAGCGACGGGGCGTGCTACTGCCCACGAATTCTACAATGTCCCGGTGTTACCGTCCTCTGGAACACAGACCGACCCGATGTCGGACAGCGCTGAAATGGAGCAGAAACTCAATAAAACTAGTCACGGAATGCCGAACCAGATACCTATGAACACCAACGATTTGCATGCCGGGTACGATCACATGGGTTCTCAAACATTGCACGTTGACAACGCGAGATCCAAGTATCCGGTCGATTCCCAGGTGCCAGCCCTCGTGCTCAACGGAGGATATTTTTCTCAATATGGCCAGATAAAAAGCGCATCAACTGATCTCAAAGATGTCGGGACCCAGGTATCTCCAAATCCCCCTTCAGCATTGCATCCTCGCATGGTTTTAACCTCAATATCCACGCAATGCCCATCCATCCATTGGGGTTTCGCTTCCATTCAAACGGAATCGAATGGGCACGTTCTTAAAGTGGCAGCGACTCAGGCACAGCATCTAGAAACACCAGACACTGAAACATGGAGCAAAGCTGTTCTCGACAATGCTTATTACTTTCAGAATGGCGATGCGCGAAATTTAGTCAGAGATAAGAATTTTATTATAAACTATAACCCGCAGGCGTGCAGCTCCCTACACGGCGCGCCACTAACAGGAGATGAAACACTATCCCTGACAGATCATTGCAATGACAATATCAGAAATTTTTTAAGATCTTGCGCGGGTGGCGATACAAGAAGCGCACTAGAAAGACACGTCCCGCCCATGGCACCTCCCCCTCTGGGGTATCATATCCGAAGATATTACAGCAGTTCTGAGACCACGGTTGAGGATATAGAAATAAGGAGATCTGATGTCCCCGAAGAAACAGAAGCTCGTAAAGATAAGCTAAAATGCGGCGCCATGGAAGCCATTCACACAAAGAACAGGAAGCGGGTCAGGGATGGTCAGCAGGGGGTTGATCAGGTCGTCGTGCATCAAAACAAAGCTGTCAATGACAAGAAAATAACCAGGGACGCCATGGGGTACGTCACTAGGAGTGTTGGGGACAGAACGAAAGCCGGCAAGCTCAACACCACCGAAGGGCGAAAGGGGGGCTTCCAAAGAGCGGCCACCACACTACGACGGGGGTACATTAAAGACGCCAAAGACAAGAAACGGGAAAAACGCGAGAGAAACTTCACAACCCCAGTGAGCCGCGACTTCGCCCAGAACAAGATCATTACATCTGCCACGGGTGTTGCCTCGTGTGAAGGTGATGGCGCCAAAGTGAAATATCAATACGAACCAACAAAGTTGTCAAAACATGAACAGCCCGATCGGACGAAGTACGTTGTTTATTATTGCAAGCCTAACGGGTATGTGAATGCCGAGGACCTAAAGAAGAAATACAACCGCAGTAAAGCGCCCAATTTGAAACTGATCGACGCCAACGTCTTACCACCAAACGTTGCTTTACAGCCCATCCTGATCCGTAAAGGGAGTGAGGGTAAACTGAAATACCCATGCTTTAGTTACAAAAAAGGAATAAAGAAGCGACCTTTATATCGAAAAAATAACCTTTCGAATTCGATACGCACCGCTTTCAGGGTCTCGTCTGGTTGTGATTTAAACACAAACTCCAACGCTTATGATCCAGATGCCAGGGACGATAGTTACGAGGCGCAGCTGCTGCAGCACCAGGCAGTGGCATCCGACACGACGCTTGAAACAATGGATAATGAGGACCAGACGGCGGACACACAAAGTGACGACACCTGTGTCACACATGTCTATGAAGATAAATCCCCTAGTCATGCAGGAGTTCGGGACTCCCCGCAGCTCAACAAGTCGGAAGATGAATTTTCATCACCCAAAAGGGGCCCACCTCCGGAAAACTGGGATGAGAAGAAGCACAATCTACTCCAAGCGTGCAATGAAGCCATCAAGACTCGGATGCAAAGAAGAGATCTCGTCACTAATGAATCTGATGAATTCACTGACAGTGAAAAATTTAGCAATCCTCTGACGGGGTGCTCTTGCTCTTCATCCACCTTAGCTGCCGGCCAGAAGATGTACTCAGAAATGTCTCTTGAACTACAAAGCAGCAAGAGCCCGGCCCTGGCGGAGCCTCTCACCAAAGATGATCAGATACAATCACTTTCTGCCAAACGCGCTAGTAGGACAAAGCAAACGGAAGCTCTGTACATTAAGTTTGAAAGCAGCTTGTCCAAGAAAGTAACGACAGTGGTGAAAGAGAAAAATAAGAGCCCGAGTGAAAAGTTTAGGTCCGACTACAAGCAGCTGCAGTTGCAGGACGACAACCCCAAGAGCTTGACGGAAGGAGAGAAGAAACCAACAGCGCAAGAAGTGCCCCGATACACCAGAATTATTCGCTTGAACGACGAGGTTGTTGATAAGAAAACGGGTAGAAAGCAGATATCAGAGACAAGCCTTCAAACGAAAAGAAGTATGTTGAGATCCCCAAGGGCTGCAAGCAAGGAATTGGTGTTGGCGTGCATTGAATCAGAGCATCGATTTGACGCGGTCAAAGATTTACTGAGTGCAGCTTGTAAGGGCGAAGACTTTCGTCACTCGCCACCCAAGTGTATTTCACCTTACAAGCCGTCTTACGAGCCCCTTTACGAGCCCCCTTTCGAGCCGCCTGCGGCCATTGACCCCGAAGAGCCAAGTGAAGACAGGAGTGTAGACTTGGTGGGCTCGAAGGAGTGTTCTGAAACTATCAAAAGCGATCCTTCGGAAGTACTAAAGACTCCAGGTAAAAAATCTCAGTCGGCGGAATCGAGCGGCTCTAAACGAACTAAAAGAGATAAATCAGATTCACCGACCCCCCGTAAATCAAAGGAAAGAACCCAGCGTAGAACTAAGTACAAAAGGGTAGACAGTCCCACTGAGCCTAAGAAGACCTCCAAGAAAAAGAAATCGACAAGTAAAAGTAAAAACAAGTCTGAAGTGAGCAGAGACAGAAGTCAAACAAGAACCCGAAAGATATCTTCGGGAACTTCTACGAGGAAGAGTCCAGTACGACCGGCAAGTTCCACAAATACACAGGAGCGGAAAGCCAAAAAGCGGGGCTCGAAGACAAAGTCGGCTGAAAGGAGCCAGAGCGATTATTTCCCGATGAAACCTGAAAAAATCAAGGGCAAGAAACTTGTCGAGAAAGCATCAGAAAAAAAGAAAAAGAAGCGAGTCAAAGCTGAGGTGATTTTAAACGATGATGAGGCGAGCGACGAGGATGACACTGAAAGTGTTGGCAGGCAATGCCAGTCGTCACTGAGCGCGCCAGTCAACACTGAAGTGACTGTTTATACACGAATTCGAACGCCGTCTCCGCGATCCTGCAGTCCAATTATACAAAACCGATCTGCTTCGCCAACATTTTTTCGTGGGAGGCAAGACTCACGGCAAGGGCTGGGCTCGAACCAATGTGATGAAGAGAAAACTCGCAGCTTGGACCGGCAGTTAATTAGTCAAGGAGGCAGGTTCAAGGACCAGAAGCCTAAAAGTCACGCGGCTATTTCTGCTGACAACATAGTCAATTCGGGCGCTGTATCTAAACACTTGCGTCCCACCGAGTCCGTGCCGGTCTTTGTGGAAAACCAGGTCCAACCCCGCCCACCGAAAGCCGCACAATCGGTTAACGCAAACAAACTAAAAAAGTCGGAGAAAGATCTACAAAAAGCGGAGCTCGGCTGGAACAGTTCACTTTCCGCAACAGCTCAAAGAGCGGCCGCCGAGCGGGCGAAGATGCTTCAAAAACGTAAAGCGAAATACTCCCTTGCTAAAGTCCGTAACGCTCCTAATAAAGGCCAGGAGACGGGCACAGCGGTGCCACGCAGGCCAATGCAACGCAAGGGTCAGGCGGAAGGTGACAACGTCTGCAGTGGGAGTGAAAAGGAAGACAAATCCGAGCCCGTCTTGCGAGAGAAACCTAGCACCAGCCAAGTGAAATCGGTGCAGTTCTCAGAGAGTATCGAGGACCTTGAAGCCCAAAAACATGTTAACGCAAGTGATTCGGTTCAGCTGGGCAATGTTTCTAATCGGTCTGAAGGGGACGTTCTCACCCACAAAAACTGCGCACCCGGCGCACAGTGTATGAATGCGGAATTTGGATCTTTCGAGAGGGCCACCAAGCGCGAGGCATCCGATTCAGTCAACGAAAAATCCGATCGTTCTGTTGATAAAATCACAGTCGAGCCGCGTTCACACAGCACACCACCAAGGCGCAAACGTCCGGTCTGGCTAAAGAAAGCGAGCAAACCCGAAGAAGGGAAACCATCCGATGGCGGGAAAGAAAAACAGGCCGCGGCAAAGCAAATCGCGGCTCCGATGAAACTTAAACTAGGTCATTCGGCAGAAAACATGGCAAACGGTTCCAAGTGTAACACGCATCTCTATTACACGCTGAAGACTGGAAAGGCGTCGCCGAAGACGAGCAATCTCAGTCTGAGTGGTAAAGCAACAGTTTCCTACAACACTAGGATCAACGCTGTTTTCATGACCCCGCCCGTGAATAAATCGTCTAAAAAAGCGATTGCTTCCGTCGGCTCCCCCGTGGACATTAAGGAGATCATAGAAGGCACGTCCGTCGACGTTTTCGACCACTGCAAAATGACCAACATCAGATCAGCGAAATCTGTGCCGTCCATCGGGTTGGCCGCTGGGAAAAAACTCAAATTAACCAGTGACGTTCGGTCAATGACAGGCAAGAAGAAGAAGAACTCCAAGGCTCGCGAGAGCGGGTCACTTCGCTCCCTGTGCTCGAACGAAACGTACGAGGACCACGTACGCCTCACGTCCAAAGACAGAGCGAGCCCAACGTACTCCGTGTCTACTGAAGTGGATGAGGGTGCAGTCGCCTTAAAGCCAGGATCCTCCTCACTGGTAAGCTATGGCCACGCAAGAAGACGTGAGAAGAAGCATTCGAAGAAGCGCGCCCTCCCATTGAACGAGGCAGTGGACTGGCAGTTGCTAGCCAGGCCGGAGGAAGCGAACAGGGCCGAGATGAGAAGGGTACATTACTATGGGGACATGCTTGACATCGTGAGTCATCTCACCTCTCCTCTTGAATTTTCCACATAGCTAGTTTTCCATAATGATTGATTAAACATTGGAATTTTTTTTTTTTAATGGAATAGGTTAATTTATCAAGTTAAACACATTTAATCAAGAGAAAGAAAACTAATCATAATCTATGGTTTGAAGACATAATTGGAGACCTGATCTTATGTATTATTATTACAGAAAAACAACTGTATTTTTTAATGACTGAGCCTACTTTTATGTTTCTCTTTCTTTAAGAAATACGGTTACAAAAACAAAGATACTTTTTAACTGTAGGCTTTAGGACATCAACCTTTTTACAGCAAATGTTACTGATGTACACAACATTCAGGGTGTTTCTAATTACTTTTGTAAATTCAATTTTTCTCTGTAATGAATTCGTCAGGGTGGTCGTGATAAAAGATTGGGTACCCTGGTAACAAGAATAGATTGTATGCAGAGTGCATATATTTGTGTTCAAGTTAAAATATTGATAACGATTGGTCTGATACATTTGGTGGGTGGGGCAGCGATGCATGTTCCTTTAAAAAAAAAAAAAACTACCAACGTATTCTATCCACAGGACGTCTTCCACCTGGGACTGGCCTGGATGGTACAAGGGTTTTTCAACAGGATCTCATACTTCAACCCTTGCCAACAACCTTCTACGAATGCTTCCGGTGACATGCCTGCCAACCAGCAGATCACCGACTAATTGGCTTTGTCGTCTCATCGGACCAACGTGAACACGGTGAACCAAAGTCTTACAGAGTGGACATCTGTCGTCTGGCTTGACCGTAGTTTGGAATAGACATCGGGGAATCTTTAAGTTAAACAAAAAAAAGTGCTGATGACGTCAACATCAGGCGGCTGCATCTCGTGTTGTCCCAGTGGGTTTCTCCGATATTGTGTTGTTTCCATTTCCAGAAATCAAGGATTATTTTACAGTATTGACAGCTTCTTCAACTGTCATCGGGGATTTATTTGCAGCACGCTGAGCTCAGTTATCTATTTGCAGTTTTGCAGTACACAAACGATTAAAATTACACAAAAGATCACAAAACTTCTTAAATATTCGACTAATCGTGATAGACGAATTTTAGATAATACACTTGAGATTGAGTGAACAGTACAATATAACTGAAAATAACTTTTATTTGCTAAGTTTAAACTTGAGATACCACTCTGAATCTTTAATTCTTAAAACTGGCAGGTTCATAGTTCGTTTCATTTGGCCAATCTGTTTTAAAAGTAACATCCCTCAGCTCTCAATTCTATCAGTAATCGACTCATCTCCACCTTTTTACAAAATTTCGGCCGTGATCAAATCGTCCAAGAACCTTACAATTGGGCGCACTGCATCAAGGACCCTGTTGAAAACGTGAAGCACTAACAGGGTGCACCGTGCAGCACTAACAGGGTGCACCGCTGACTATTTACAGCCAACTTTCGCCCGAGTGCAGCTTGTTAAAGCCGTTTCCCTGATGTCCTGAAGCCTGTCTCTAGAGAATGAATTCCGTGTCAGAAGTGTTAACATTGACACCAAATAAAACAAATGTGAATAAAGCCTTGTCTTCCCAACAGTTCTCAATAAATACGTGCATGCAGTCTTTACCCCTCTTGAGTGACGTCAATGGTAAATATTAGAAGTAATCATCTGCTGGTTAGACCCAGGGCTGTGGACTTGTTTTTAAATTTTAATTTTTAATTATTTTTTTTTATGAAGATTGAGAACCACTGATGGATTTCATAACTAAATTTAAATATAAGGATGGAATTGTAAGGTTTTATTTCCCACTTACAGCCCTGGTTAAATGGGGACAAAATAGTATTGGAATAATTGAAATCAAGACAATCTGTTGCTGGAATAAAAAGAAATGACCAACTGTCACTGGAAATATAGACAAAAATGAGAAAATGTTTCCCAACTTATAGAAACTATGACAATGTCACTATAATAGAAATTATGACAAATTGAAAATGCAAGTGCAACAATAGAAATTATGACAGTATGTCATTGGAATTACAGTAATTATGACAAGGTCACATCAATAGAAATTATGACAAAATATTGCTGCCAGCTGCCAGTGCAATAACACATATGACAAATAGTAACAAAAATTATGACAAAATGTCACTGCATGATGAAAGAATTTGGATTACTTTCTGTGGGAAGTAACAATGAAATGACATTGTATAAATATAGATCAGAAGGCACTTTGCTAAGAGTTTTAGACATAAACATTGACAAAAATCAGTGTCCTCAGATGGACAAAAAAAATTTCCATATGCATAATTTGAAAAATAAAAATATGAGCTCGTGTAAAAGTGCTCTTGCATGAGCATACGCTCTTTCAAAATAGAGTGAAACAAACGTTTCCTGTACATAACAGTTATCCACCGGCATTCAGAAGCATGTCTACCAGCATTCAGACATATGTCTACCAGCATTCAGACATATGTATACCAGCGTTCAGACACATGTCTACCTGCATTCAGCCGAGTCCTAGTAATTATTAGGTCCTGCTAGTACAATGTTGCTTTATAAACAACAACCAAAAAAAAAAACAGAATTTCAAATATATTTATTCGAACATTTTCAGTAGTAGGAAATGATTAAAATATAATATTACAAATTATCACATACGTTTAAAAAAAAGTTATATAAAAAATCAACAAATAAATTGAAAGCCGAGTATGTGTATGTGTAGCATATGTACAAATAATAACTTAACACTATTTGTTAATTGTTATATTGCCACAGTGAAAAATATCCCACAAAAATCGTTGTATAAAGAGAAATTACATATTATAGTATAAATAAATTTACCAGAAAATGAATACTACATAAAAAGTATCCATGTGATAGGTAAGGCAATACACTCTTGCTAAGTATAAAGAGTAGAAGTTTTTTACATGTCAGCTTAGTAAGGCAGCGCTGAAAGGTTATAGAAAAAATAAACCATATGTTGTAAGTGTAAGTGCTTAACATCTCCATGGATAGATATGAACACATCAAAGACTAACTATATGTTGTAAGTGCTTAACATCTCCATGGATAGATATGAACACATCAAAGACTAACTATATGTTGTAAGTGCTTAACATCTCCATGGATAGATATGAACACATCAAAGACTAACTATATGTTGTAAGTGCTTACCATCTCCATGGATAGATGTGAACACATCAAAGACTAACTATATGTTGTAAGTGCTTAACATCTCCATGGATAGATTTAAACACATCAAATATGATCAAAGCCTAAACCATATTCACAAGGGATGTGATGTTTTTCATTAGCTTTTAAAATTTATAGGTATTTCATTTCCCCGAGATAATAAATTATGAAATATACTGCAAGTTTTAAGTGTGGATAATTTGGATAATAGATAACATTTTATAAGCCTTTGATTTTGTCAAGGGAATGTAAGCAATAATATTTTACCGTATTTTTTTATTAAAACTTTGAAACCAAAATTGTAAAAAGCTGTGAGAAGAAAGTAATGAGAATAGAAAGATCTAGAATGATGGGATTTTCAAGTAATACTTAGCTACATCGTCGGTAAAAGGAACCAATCAAACAAATTGAGTGTTTTGAATATACCCCATTACACAGGATAGGTTAAAGCATGTTTATCTGAAATAACCTAGACATGCAACAATTATAAATTATTACTCCCTTTAACAGCTAAAAATAACAAAAGAATATAATATACAACATACAATTCTTGCTGTTGTCTGCCATAAATTAAAGGTAGGACCACTTACGCAACCAAGAAAATCTCACCCACTTTAGTTTTAGATAGTGTTAACATGTTAAAATGAGTCAGTGACTTGTAAATAGTAATATACTTAATCTACTAATAAAGCTATTCATATTCCTTGTTTGTGAACTTAGTGATATTAAATACATTTAATTATTCTTGAATAGATATTAAAAGAACACTTACTGATACTGCAGTTTGCGCTAAGATTATTGCACAAACAGATTTGTAATTATTGTTTACTACACAATGTAGATACTTATAAATATCAATACTCGGAGGTCGAGATTCTATCTCTTAGGACCTCTGGCTGCGAAACATAGCCTAGTAGTCCCTTGGGACTCCGGCCATGCAACCTGGCCCCGAGAGACAGGGTTTGGGCAGGTTTCTTCCACTCATGAGGGAGCAGTTTTGCGTCACAGTCCCCCTTGCCCATTGAGTCTTACGGTCGGGACGTAGGGTTGGAACAGCTTTGCTTCCCCTCCGGAGATGGCGTTGCGTTGCAACCCCCACTGCCCAGGGAGCTGTACGTTTCCTTGGTTCCTTAGCTACTAATAGTAAGGATTGCTGTTACAGCTACCAGTATAACCTTCATACATGCCGAACCTCATTCAGATTCTATGTTTATATGGCCTAGCGACCCAAACATTAGGCAATAGGTCATTTAGGACAGGAGCTATTGTATTTATGATTCCTGTTGACCTTTTATGAATTTATGTGATTTGCAAAAAAAATATATCTTTTAAATACCTAAAAAACCATACTAAATACTGTATGAACTGTATGTCACATTTTAAAACACTTATATCACATACAAAGTATAGGTAAACTGTACAGGTTGGCATGTATGACTTTGCATGATATAGGATTTAAAATTACTGGGAAATAAATGACCAAAGTGAAGTCCAATAAAAATGCACAATTTTACAATATCGGATTGGATCATTTCCTAAATATTGTTTTATGATGACTTTCTATAATCAGAATGTATTTTCTTCAAAGTGGCTAATCGTACCTGGGTACCAGAAGTGAGAGGTTGGGATAAAAACTCTATTTAAGAATTTATTGTTGGGTTTGTAAGACAAAATGGGGTATCAAATGAAAGATAATTGAATGGACTATATGTTTGTAAACTTAATTCTTTAGCTTAACTAAAATAAACTACCACAAATGACATCCGAATAGCACTGAGTAAAAATGGCCTGGACACGCAGGGCGCCATTTGCACCCAGGTACCATTAGACTCAAGCTATTCGGATGTCATTTGTGGTAATATATTTTAGTTAAACTGCAGAAGTAAGTTTACAAACATATAGTCCATTCAACTATCTTTCATTTGATACCTCATTTTGTCTTACAAGCCCAACAATAATATTTTAAATATTTTTTTAATCCCAACCTCTTACTTCTGGTACCCAGGAACGAATAAATTCAGTTTATTTTCTTAGCATCTTCTAAAAAAAAATATATTCAATTGGCTTTGTGATAAAAGATTGAGAGTAAATTATAATCTCATTTTCACAATAACATTATGATTCTTTAGTTAAAGTTGCGCAAGATGGATTGGATTACAATTCAATCTTACAAACGCCTAGATAAATCATTACTGTTAGTATTTAAAATGCTAACAAAAATTAATGCACTTCAGCTAGGTATAGGAATACATATTAATAGAAGTGCTATTACACAAAAATATTACATTTCCTCATCAAACTTGTGGATCATAGTTGATGTTGATCACAATGTGTTCCACTCCATCCAGGGAAACATTTACACACATAATCATCAAAATCATAAACTTTGCCCGCGCTTGTTGTCTCAGTGGGAATTACCAGCTTGTGCCGCATTTCAACACTGTCCTCATCCTTCAAATATTTCTCAACATCAAAATATGTAGGGCACCTAGTCTGTTCAACATCTCGTTGGCTGTTTAATTTAGAATTCCTTAGGGGAATTTCCTGCTTATTTTGAAAAGCTTCCTTTTCCTGAAGAATTTGATTAGGCGTCTGATCACCTAGCCCACCATTACCGCCATTAAGGGATGAACTCCTCGTTCTCACTTTCCTTTTCAAAATCAATTTTTCTTTAGAAATCCGGCACTGCTGGCGCCCGGATTTTGACAGGTGATATTGATATATCAGTTCATAATCTTTCTTGACACACCTTCCGTGACCGCCGCAAAGCATGAGTGAGCAGTTGCTGAAGAAGTTGGTGACGTCCAGAACATATGGTCCTAGAGTAGTGTTAATGTACTGTTGTAGGATCAGACATTCATTCTTGGGTCTCATGTCATCAGACGATCCCCACAGGACAACGCCTGATGCTCCCATATCGGCAGGCTGGCGAATGGCATTGTAAAGGTCCGACTGTAAGATAGATCACAAGTGGTTCAAGAACACAAGCCAGTATAATATCGGTAGATCAGTTGATTCAAAGCAAAGTAAAAGCAACAAATATGAGATTAAGTTATCAATTAGAACTTGCTAATTTTTACAAATGTTGACATATATTATAACTGACACCGTTGACATAGTAACATAGCAAGTGTTTTAATATAAATATTAATGACATTGTTCCGATATAAATAAAAACAAATCTAAAATATCTTTCTCTGGTTCACCAAGTCAATTTTCAGTCCCAATACAATTATCTTAACTATAAAATGGATTCAATTATTTTAGTTATTTAAAGTTGTGCTACTTTGAAAATGCCTCTTCAATCACAATCTTTAGGTCAAGTGAATATGGGTGGGTGGAAAGTACAAATTATAAATATATTTTTAATATGTTAGCTTGATTAAAATTCTTACTGGTGCAAACATATTGTAGGGCCCTTCCTGTGAGCAAGCGTAGGGCAGTATCTCGGCATCTTGTGGGGCCCATGTGGCTTTCAAGCGAAGGGTCTCTTCTACAAGCTGCTCTATCCTGGCAGCTCTAACACTAGGAGGAACTTTCAGCTGGAAGTATATGGATGGATACAGGCCACTGCTGATGTTGTAGATGTAGTTCAACCTGTATAAAAGTATAGGGAAGTTATTAGTTATTAGGAATTATTTCATTATTGACTAAATATTTAATCTCATCAAACAAATATTGAAAATAAAATGTGCTCCAATTAATATCGCTTTCGTGACTCAGTCCAAAATGTTCAACAGTTTAACATAACTCAGTCCAAAATGTTCAACAGTTTAACATGACTCAGTTTAACATGACTCAGTCCAAAATGTTCAACAGTTTAACATGACTCAGTCCAAAATGTTCAACAGTTTAACATGACTCAGTCCAAAATGTTCAACAGTTTAACAGCAAAATATCTTGATAAATCAGGTCACGTCAGACTTGTTTACCCTCAAACTCTTAAAATCGTACAATATCATCAAAAAGTCATTTAATACGTTATATTCATAGTAAAAATAACATACAGTAGTATATACAATCTATACACCTCAAAATCGTGCATTGTACGCCAAAATCGTAAGAGTAAACAGGTCTGTCACGTTATTTACATATTTCACATATTTAGGATAACCATGCTTTCAAACCATTTCTTACAATTTCAATTCTCTACATGACACATGTTATCATTTTGTACAATGACCATGTAAATAAATAATCAGTGCTTACAATAATTTATGAACATTGACATTAGATCCTGTAATTTAATGGCAAACCTTACCTTTCAAAATGCAGCTTTTACGTTTTAAAAGTTTTTAAAGTAAATTTAATTGTCAACTCTCAACAGGAACAGAATTATGATAAAGGATTTATTCTAAACCTTGTCATCAATGTCTTTGTGAATCCAGTCAAACCTCATTATTAAATAGAATTAATTTAGTCCTACAATAAATCAAGCAGTTTCTATATTATGCCCATCACTCTTCAGGCTAAAACAAAACGTTGCAAATCTTCATCCCAAGTCATGACAAACGACATATTTGTATGGATTTAAGGATACATTATAATAATATATATACTCACTGGTCGTTGATTCGTATAGTAGAATCATTACAGTAATTGTCCCAACAACGAGGGTAGCCATAGAATCCCCATTTACCATTTGGGCGCAGTAGTGTGGCAAAATCCAGAGTTTTACGAATGATAGATCTGCCAAAAGTAGAGTAAAGTTTGACAGTTGTGAAAAGATGGTTCTGTTTAGTTTATAATGTTGAATGATGAACAGGTGTACATCTAAACTGTTGACATTGGATATTTATGAGTCCTTGTTTATGGATGACTCCATCTGCTCCAGGTATCAAATGTTCATACAGATATTTTAAATATTTTCTTTAGTATTGTTTATTCTTACAGTAAGGGCGGAATTATTATTTTAAAAATTTTTTTTTTGTTTTATATAGTTACATCTATTCTGAAACATGAACTTCTTGTGTAACCTTTGAAACCAAGTTGTTTGTTATACATTTTTGTGTTTATTTCAAGGTTTAAATTCAGGAGCTGTACCATGAGCTGGTGAGACTGTGTCTTTTTTAAAGACACACATTTTTAGCCAGTGCCGAGTTAGCTGCGGTCTATCTGCTGCTTTAGTGGCTGAAAGTTTATATTTAGGGTTTTCATCTCCACAAGAACAGATTACAATAGTCCATTTTAGCTGGCTCTCTAAATAGGTTTTATACCTAATGTGTTAGGATAATGCAATAAATATATTAAAATTTATAAATAATTCTAAAAATGATAACCTGGAAAATGAATCTGACATTTATCTAATACTTAGTTATTATAAAGCTACTATGGTTACACAATCATTAAATATATAGTAAACTTTTTAGGGCTCTTAATTTCCCATTTGATTATAACATGAATTATTTGGTAAAAACCAACAACCTACTTGGCAGCCTTTTCAAACTCCTTTGTTGCCTCCTTCAGTAAAGCATCTTTATCATAGTCTGGGAACTTTTCCTTGGCAAGCTCCAGTGATTTTCTCTGGTAAATACTTAGTGAATCAAAGTTGAGCGCAAAGATGGGCCTCCAGGATTCAAAATCAATGACAGCAAGCCCTGAGAAGTTCCTATCTGGCAAAATAGTTTTTATATCTGTCTGTGCTTTATTGAGGTGATTAGTTAAATTGGCCAGCTACAATATAGAGAAAAATTGTGATAAAAGTAGAATTATAATATATGAGACAAACACAGAGCTTTACATTAAACACAGAGATATGAATTTAACTAAGAGCTATCAAATAAACACAGAACTATGAATTAAATACAGAGCTATGAATTAACTATTTTAATAAACGCCTCAAACAATGGTCCAATAATTAAAAAACAATGCCGTAACATTTATTTTCAGTCTATACAATTATTTTTGATATTTCTTTAAAGATTTTGTTATGTAGGTAACTGAAAAATTTTAATATACAAACTTATGTTAAAATTTTATTTTGGATTAAAAGTTGTGTTTGTTTTTAACTGAACATTAAACTTGCTTGAGCTTTCATGGTACTCAACATTTTGAAAACAATCACTTTTACCTGTGGTATACCTCCATTAATGCTAAGATTGCCACTGAATCTAGGCCATATCCCAAGATTATAAAACAGACTTATTTGATCACCAATGAAGTTGTCCTTGTTGTTATCAATAATGCCCCATTTTTCAAAATTCAAGTGTTGTCCACGGGCCTCGCAAGCACCACTGGGATGGTTCCACACAACATAGAATGGTGTATTTGGAAGAACCAAGGGGGCGGAGCAGCCAGCATGTTTTTCAGTTGTGATTACACTTAAGTAGCTTAAGAAAACAAGCAGGCTGAATAAAATAGAACTCTTGCACATCACTGGGATCAGCTTGCACACAAAGTTCAATGAAATGTCAGTACTTTTATGCTTTGAAGTAGTTATTTGGAAGAGCTGAAAATAATGTTAAACACAACAATTAGGCCTCGGGTCTTTTAAGTAGGTTTAATTTAAATAGTAATGTTTTTTGCAATATCAAATTTATGATGCAATTTAATCAATCAGTTCCTGCGTTATAATTTTATAAAATTGGATCTACACTCAAAAAAGGTTGGCGGCGTCTGTGCTGATGTAAGCCAGGGAGTAGCCAGGTGTTGCTTTATCGTAACAATGGGCATAGCAGTTGATTTATTATTTTCCTCTTCCAGAACTGATATACCAGACAAGTAAAAATCATTCTCATATAACCATTCAGCTCTTAAAATAGAAGCATATTCAGTGTAAGCAATAATTGCCATAAGCTCTCTCTCTATCTCCTGGCAGCTACTTGCATTAGTCTTTTTTGTTGAGGAGTAAGTGGTGTAGTAATTTCTTATGCATTGTCGTTGCTGTTGAACATGCTATTTCAACATGACTAGTGATGCAAAATTTTGAAAATCCATTCAACCAGCCATGTTAATATTGTTACTAACTTTAATTTCCCCTAATTCTCAAAATATTGTATTCCTACTCTATCAATATCATTTATCTTGACTGCACATGACACTTGAACCTTTTACTTCTTCAAAAAATGCAACATGATTGCAAACATATAGCCCTAGTCATTTCAATCTACAGGTGAAGACAGGGCAACTTTTGACTTCTCTTGCACTAACAAAGTGTGATAACATTCTGACCAGCCATCAGCAGTGTACAGACAGACACACATTAAATAAATCTTATATTGTTAAAAGCCTCAAAATCTTAATACTATTTTAATTTACATTCATTAAATGTTATAAAATAATCTAGTAACCAGTCAATTTTTAAGATTAAAATTTTAATAGAGAAAACATGATTGTTGAAGACAACTGATCTAGCCCCCCCCCCCCCTGTGTCAACAATTGTGAAACATTTCCAAAACCCCTTTCCCCCCTATTTTTTTGCCATAATTAATGGATGACCCCATCTCCATCATAGGCCGAACTTAAAATCTAATTTATGAATTTGCTTTTGGTCTTGGTGGAAAGGAAATTTAAATTATGATTTTATGAGGTTTTTTTTACCATGAGTGCCATGACCGTCATATCAAGTATATCGATTGAATTCTATTCTAAGTAGAGAGATTACTGTAAAACGTCTTGTCCTTGGTCTAGTTTTACACTTTGAGTGCAGTCATTCCCATTGCCACCTCAATAATTAATCTTAGTTTGTTAATGATTTGTTAAAGATAGTGGTAGTCTGGTAGTGTAAGCTTACTGTAATGTAAAAGGATGTTTTAAATGTTAATTGACGAGAACTTAACATTGAGCAGTTAGTCACTAACTGAGTTAGTAGTTAGTAACATCACACTCTCTAGTGTAGAATAGGGTGTCCAAATGTCCCATAAAAATGGGATTGTCCTGTTTTTTCACGATCGTACCCGGTGTCCCGAAAAAGTCCCTCGGGACGCCTAAATGTCTCGTTTCTAAAACTAAACACATTTTCTGTTCTTGTTTTGACAACTTTATATTACATGTAGATAAGATTAATGAGAAGGACGTTTTAACAGCCAAATATCCACAATTTAAATCCTAGACTAGAGAAATTGTATTTGTTGTGTTGTATTATGTGGTAAAATATGTATAGTATAAATAAATAAGTATTGACTGCAAAATTATAATTATTGTTTTCGTTTATATTTATGATATGCATCAGTTTAAATTAAAATTAAAATCCAAAAGTGAATGAAAGTAAATTTAAAAAGATTTCTAGATCTCAAAATAGTTGAAATGAGCATATTTCAATAAACAGTTTCCGGGGGATGTCCCCGGGCCCCTCTTTAGCTGTAGGGTATCCCCCCAGACCCTCCTTGGGTGTGTCCCGTTTTTTCCCAGTTCATGATTTGGTCACCCTAGTGCTAGTGCCTAGTGTCCAACTAACTAGTCAAAATAGTGTAAGAGTGTGGTCGTAGCGTTGCTAACTGCTCACTGTTAAGTTCACGTCAATTAACATTTAAAACATCCCTTCTCATGGTTATTGTACTTATTCTATTCTAAATTATACTTTCATTAATTATTATTACTTGTAACTTGTTGAGGAGGTCAAACCTTGTCCAAAGTAACAGAATTATTTACTTCAAAAAAAAACATGTCAAGCTGGTCCATTGTAATCATGTGACTAAGTTATAAATAGATGTTGTTTTGATCCCTTAATTATTTTAATAGTATCGCCTTTTTTAATATCATTTTTTTTTATAACAGGGAATACAAACTTTGGAAGACCGACTTGTTTTGACAAATTTTATATAATTTTAAAACATTTTTCTCATGAAAAATGCTTTTTTAAATATTTCATTATAATTTGCATAAAATCCACCGTTTCCAAGAAAAAATAATATTTAGAGCAAGATATGTGTCATATGTAATATGAAATTGTTAAAGCAAATGAAAATCAATAAGACAACTACACTTACTAAATACGGCAACAGGGCAATTATATTGATGTTTCGGATCAAAGTCTACCCCCGACAACGAAGCACGACAGAAGTAATAAATAGCCTCGAATTCGTTTTCTGGTGTCAAGAAGCTTCTACAATTCCTCTAAATCTACTACTAGTAATCAGAGATAAGGTTGAAGTCTGCGGGTAGTGTTATGAGAGATTGAGGCCACTTCCACACTTTTGTCTGTCCTTAATTAAAAGTTGCAGATCCACGTGAAAATTCACGTCATTCACGTTAACTGCCAAAAACGTCTTGTTCCCAACTGTTCACTAGTGAGAGGGTTTTAGGGATGGTTGATGCCCAATTTAAAAGAGCCCCTAATGCTTCCACTGGTTTTGTTGATGCCAAGGTTAAAGCTCTGGTCCACAAAACCATGGATTGGTTGTTGGGTAAACCAATTTTGGAATAAGAGAGGCTCGTTAATTTTGCTATTGATGAAGCCAGGAAATCTAGGAAGGTGTTACAGGGTCGGGATAAGGATGTGAAGGGTGTTAGGATTGCTCGTCAGATAGCGTTGGGACAGAAGAGGGACCAGGGAGAGAGGAATAAGTTGGAGAAGAAAGTTAGACCTTTATTAGAATCTGATCGAGGGCTTAGTGACGAGTTATTTCATGGTATATGTCAGAATGTTAAAGTTAAGCTGATCATGCTACTCTCTGGTAGAATGGACTGCCTTCCTATGAGAACTAGGAACATTTGGGATGTTGATGGGGAAGAGAAGGAGTTTATTGGAGATTTAGTTGGGTAGGGGATAGTCGGGAGAAATGGGCCGCCAAATGAACATCAGTCAAAGAATCCAGCTGGTGTTGACACATAGAAAAATATAACCACAAAATTTTGCTTAATAATAGCCAGTCCAAATGTGCACTTAAAAACTTAATTTCCATTGTCATCAGTTTGATAGTTTTTATGGAATTCAACAGAAACTGATGACTATGTAGGTTGGGAGAATTGGTCATAGCGAAGGGAGAAATGGACCACCATGTTAGGAAAAAATGGTCAGCTTACTAAAAATTGATTAAAACGCATTAATATTTTTACCTATTTTATATTAATTTTCTCTCGGTTGTGTTGTAATGCACCATACAATATGTAATGTAATTAAAACGATAAGCAAAACCATTTTAAATTTTATTTTTATGTATATTTATTGAAAATAAAAATTAAGAAAAAATGTAATTTGAGCAAAAGAAAAAAAAAAACAAAGATTTATTTAACATTTAAAGAACTCAGGTTTTCTTTAAAGAAAAAAAACAACTATCTTTAGTCCTAACTGTCCCAGTCTTTTGCAATTTTGTAAGTTTGCATTTTATGTCTTTAATAAAATAGGCACACAGGCAATGTCTTCTAAGTGTGGTCTTATCAATTTATTGCCAGTCACTTTCTCACTTTTTCTCTAAGATTCTACTTCCACATCCCCATCGTCATCCACTTCCTTCCTCATAACAGCCACATAAAACAACGCTGACCTTTTTACACCATACTCACACAAAACACAATCATCTTTCATAACGTCTTCAACATCATTCATTTCAACACAACTAGTTGTCAAGTCTTCACATACTGAAATGAAGTCATCTAAATCATCGTTGCTTATCAGGTCAAAGTGCATGTCAGAGTCACTATCGTTACTTTCAAATAATTGCTTTGCCTGTAATTTTAAGGGACATGACACCCTTTTGTCATCAATCAGCTGATCTTGCTGCATTTTTTATTTATTTCAGGAGTTGATGTGGCAATCAATGATTGTCTTTTCTTTCTAGTATTATTTTTAATGGGTCCTGCTTTAGGGAAGCCTCGAAAAATCTCAGCTGACCTAAACACTGATGGGTCGGGTTGTGAAGACTGGTAAAGAAGACGCAGCTAGAGACAGTGTTTCATCTTGATCTGGTCTGTCTTTTATAACACAAGGCATAAAGTCTATATCTGTGTAAATGTCTTAAGAGGCCAAATTCCGCTGGCTTGGAAGCCAGACAATAATAATATATTTGATGGAGTCGCTGCTTTGACGAAGGCCCCACCACCAAGTTCAGCAATTTGGTAAATTGTGATTGGTTTGCCTACGTTCTTAAGCATCCACGAGTCAGCTGAAGCATTGAATGCACTTTTTAATGGTTCAAAAACTGATCAGTCCAGTGGCTGTGTTTTATTTGAGGTGTGTGGTGGCATTGTAACAATATGAATAAAGTTCTTTTTAGCAAGTAAGCGTACAATTTTTAGCCTCATAGGATAGGTGGATAAATTGTAAAATTGTCCACAAATTATTATCAGAAATGCCTGCTTCTAGATATTTTTAAAAATATCTCAATGTTGTGTGGGTTAAAGGTGGTGGCTCCTGAAGAGACGTAGCGATGTAGTTTGGCGCCCGGGGACAAGATTCGCGCCCGGGAACAAGATCCATTTTAAAGCGCCCCCTTTTCTTTTTTTAAACTCTCAAACCCTTTATTTTTACCAAAAATATATAATAGAAGCACATTTTGGCACCCCTAACTAGCTTGCGCCCGGGGACATCTGTTCCCCCTGCCCCCCCTCGCTACGCCTCTGGGCTCTTGCCAGTGAAGTTGATTTCGTTTGGCGCAGTGATATTTGAGGATGCCTCTGTCGAAAGCCATCAAGCCAATCTTTACCAGCAGCTTTCTTATTATGCCACGATTCAGGTACTTTTATTTTGTTAAATATGTCCATCTCGTAGGCTAATAATTTCGCACTGGCTAATGTCAGCCCATGAAACATTTTTGAACATGCTTCCAACTAATCCGCAAACATAGTCTCTTGGTCAGCTGTGAATACCATGGCATGTTTGTAATGTGGTTGTAATTGGTCCGTAGAGACATATTTTTTTAGATTGCTATTCATAGTTGTGCGTGATATTCCGAATTGTGTAGCAGCTGCATGTCTTGAATTTCCCCCTTTAATGGCACGAACTGCACATCTCATAACTTCCAAGGGTATTTGACCTTTATCAGTTTTTCTTGCTTAGTTTCTAGGCATGATTCTGGAAGAAAAAAAAATTACGTTTTGCTACAATAAATCATGACTGATAATTCTAAATCTTTATTTAATTTTAAAGTTAATTAACTATAGTCATGCTCAATATATTAAAACGTTTTAATTACTTCAAGATTATGGAGTAATGAAACATAAGAAAATTAACAGTGGGGAGAAATGGACACACGTCCATTTCTCCCCATTTTTCGGCTCGTTTCACCCCACAAGGTGGTTGATGCAGATTTTTTTTTTTTATTCAAGTTCGTGATGTAAATAATCAAATTTAATATGACTTACTATAACTAACTAAATAGTATACATTAAACTATATTTACCTGTATTCTTATAATATGAATTACTATAACTAACTAAATAGTATACATTAAACTATATTTACCTGTATTCTTATAATATGAATTACTATAACTAACTAAATAGTATACATTAAACTATATTTACCTGTATTCTTGCTGAACCAGTTAAATTTCTAGAGGCTTTGATAAGGCTTGTTCAAAACAACATTTTTTTATGCCAAAATTGTACTCGTAATTCATTTGATTCATCGCTGGCGATATATATGTCAAAAAACGCTTTTCTCCTTATAGGGGGGGATTTTAACTTTCCTGGTTGGAATTGGCAGATTCCTGCCTTGAAGCCCAAGTCCCCATACCCTGTTCTACACTCAGAATTCATGGAGATAATTAACAACATCCTGGTTGGAATTGGCAGATTCCTGCCTTGAAGCCCAAGTCCCCATACCCTGTTCTACACTCAGAATTCATGGAGATAATTAACAACCATGGTCTGGAACAGCTGGTTAAAGAACCCACGAGGGGGGGAAACACTCTTGACCTACTCCTCACCAATTGTCCACATCGTGTCCCAAAAGTTGAGGTCATCCCCGGGATTTCGGACCACAGCATTCCTTATTGTGAATTTCAGGTCAACACACTAAAAATGAAACAAATCATTCGAGAAATCCCAATTTATGCCAAGGCAGACTGGGATGGCCTAAGGATTGCAACCACAGAGCTAAGCTCAAACATGAAGGTGATTCAAGGTACAGCGACAACAGACGAGCTGTGGGTGAAGTTCAAGACTACAATCACTGATGCAGTGAAGAAATTCATACCACACCAAATCACCAAACCTAGGATAAATCAGCCATGGGTCACGGCTGAAATCCGTAGGCTCATCATCAGGAGAGACCGCCAATACAAACGCATGAAGAACAATGGCTCGATTGAACTGAGAGAGGAGGTACTGAGACTTCGCCGAACCATTTAACGCTTATTGCGTAGATCGTATTGGAACTACATGAACGGTATCTTCTCAGAGGAAGACACCCCGACCAAAGATGTCAAGAACAAGCGCTTCTGGAGCTATGTGAAACACAAAAAGTCCTCAAACGCTGGAGTTTCCCCCTTGAGATGGGATGGCCAATTGACATCTGACCCAAAAGCACAGGCGGAGATACTCAATCAGCAGTTCCAGTCGGTCTTTGGTGACGGTAGAGAGTACTCTGAGACTGAGTTCCTTCTGAAGACCAAAATGATGAACAGAGCCTACCCTATCATGGGAGATATCCAGATATCAGAACAAGGTGTGTTTGCCCTCCTCAATACCATTAACCCTTACAAAGCATGTGGTCCTGACAACATTAAACCACGAGTGCTCA